TCATTTCAGTTTAGCAAGGGACCAAAACCACAACCAAAATACTTCAAAAGGACCACAACCAAAATACCTCAGGATTACGTTCACATATCTCACAAAATATGATGATCTCACACGAACTTAAATATATATATATATATATATAATATATATATATATATATATATATATATATTATATTAATATATATATATAATGCTAATCGTTTTCTTCATTTTTTATAGTGTGGCAAATGATTTTGTTGACTATAACGCTCCATAGCACACCCCAAAGGAAAAAGGAAAACGAGGCCACAAATTAAAAGGTGATCACATAATTACTTTAAGATGGGCGATTATCGAATAAAAAATATTATAATATTTAAAAGCTGCTCATTGAATAAGACTTGAAGTTTAATATCAAACACTTAAATTTTACAATAGACGTAGCTAAAAAACTATGCGTGTATTTGTTGCACATGAAATCAACGTTTTGCATAATCCTTAACTCGCTGTATAAACATGTTAACAGGAAAATGTAATAAAAATTCCAAAAATTGTTTTAAATGATAACCACATGATCTTTAACTCACATTAGGTGTCATAAATATTTATAATCCAGTACATAAATTTTCGAATATTATTAAAAGTTAATCATTAATTACAATCACAAATATTATATGTAGTTTACGTATGAATATATATCAGAAGACATTTCATGGTTCGACCTATTAACAACTTATATTAATTATTAATTAATTTTAGATGGCAATAAATTATTAAATATCATAATTTATCTGAATATAAAAATATAAGTATATATAGTTGATAAGTAGTTTTGGAATTTTGGTATACTAAGTTGTGAACCGGACACAAAAACCAGCTGAACCGGGATATAATTGCTGCCTCAGTTGATCAAAAAAACAAACCTTTCTTTCTCTCTCTCTCTCTCTCTCTCCTACAAACACACACACACACAAAAACACAAACGCACACAATTCGAAAACGAGATCTCTCTCTTTCTCTCTGGATTCTCCGACGTCGGTAACGGGGTATCCTTTCTCCTGTTGACTGCCGGCGAAAGTTTTCTGTGCTCCTATTTTTCCGGCAACGGTTTGTTTAGTGGTTGAATTTGGCAAAAAGAGGAGAAGAAATGAGTACTGGAGAACTTCTCAGCGTCGAGCCTCAGGAGCTTGAGTTTCCTTGTAATTATACGATTCTATTACTCTTTTACTTAGTTTATTGCGCGATTCCGCTTCTCGTTTGCAGATCTATTGCTATTTTCTCCCACTAAATTCCTAATTTTGTGAATATGGTTTTCACTTTCGTAGTTGAATTGAAGAAGCAGATCTCCTGTTCCATGCAATTGACGAACAAGACGAATAATCATGTGGCGTTTAAGGTACTGTTATCGTTATCAGTTTCAGTAGTATTTTGATTTAGATATCAAAAAAATTTCTTTGATTTTCTGTTTTGAGGTAAGAAGTATATGATGTTGAGACGTATAAACTTATTCGCTTTCGAATTTAACATCAGAATTAAGTTGTTATGGTTATACAATTATCATTTTGTGGCTAATTAGGTTTCTTTTCGATTTAAAATAACCACAACCATCTCCAGTAATCAATTTACCTGTTTTTAGGCATCTATATGTTTGAACAAACAGAGGATCATAAGATCACAAACTACTTCTTGATGTTACATTGGAGTTGAAACTATTCTGATATTCATAAAGTAGTAAACTTAAACTATCAATGTTATGTTCTTAGTTTTCTTTCTTTGATGAAATTTCAGGTAAAAACTACGAATCCAAAGAAGTATTGTGTTCGTCCTAACACTGGAGTTGTTTTGCCTTACGCTTCTTGTGATGTCATAGGTTTCCCTCTACCCTTTTACTTTATATATATATATATATATATATATATATATATATATATATATATATATATATATAAAAGCTTTTCTTTTCATTTCCTTACATAATTATCAAACTCACATTGATATGTTTATAGTGACAATGCAAGCTCAAAAGGAGGCTCCTCCTGACATGCAATGCAAGGACAAGTTTTTACTTCAGAGTGCAGTTGCAACTCCTGGAATTGCCCCTAAAGATATTACACCAGAATTGGTAATTATGTAACTTAATCAGATTGTGTTCTTCAAACTATTGACTCCATGAATGGAATTGAAAGTTTTTTTTACATTTATTTTGCAACAGTTTAGCAAGGATTCTGGTAATCAAGTGGAGGAATGCAAATTGAAAGTTAATTATGTTGCTCCTCATCAACCACCATCACCAGTTAGAGAAGGATCAGAGGAAGGTTCCTCTCCAAGGGCTTCAATATCAGATAATGTCACTGTAAACACAAATGACTCTTCTTCTGTGAGTTTTTTAATTTTTAATTGGTTTTTGGTGTTTTAGGTTGTGGATAGTATGTATATTTACATTTTTAACCTTTTTATGTAATTGACATATAAATTCATCAACTTTTTGTAGGTCCCACGAGGATTTGCTGAATCTAATGAGAAATTATCAGAGGTTATTTTCTGAGCTACTTTATAAATTTTGCTATTCAAATTTCTGCTTCAAATATATTTTTATTCAGTGTTTGTGTGTTTTAATCATTTTATATTTTGTTTACAGACAAGATCCCTTATATCTAGGCTGACTGAAGAGAAGAATTCTGCAGTTCAACAAAAGAACAAGCTTCACCAAGAACTGGTATGTCACTTTACTTGGATTAAATTAAGCTTCAACAACTTTTTTTTTTCTTAATTTCATGAATATTCGATTTATTAAAATGAAAAAGTAGGTTGTTAATAAAATAACAATCCGATTTTCTACAATTAAGGCTATGTTTGGCGCACAACTTATTTTTCCAGTTTTTTTAGTTACTTAGACTAGCTTTTTAGGGGCTTTGTAAATTTTTTCCAAATATACCCCTTAATTAATTATAGAAACACATTCTTTTAAATGTTCTTTTCTGTCATTTTATATCTTTCAACTAGCTTTTTAGCTAGTTTTACCAAATGTCATTTTTTATCAGCTAGCTTTTCAACTATCAGATAGCTTTTTATTTAACAGCCAACTTTTCAGCTATCAGTCGGCTTTCTTTTTTTCAGCCATCTGCTAGCTTTTTGAGCTAGTATGTCAAACATAGCCTTAGATTAGCTTTTCATGAGCCTTTTTGAAAATTTCCAAATATACCCTTAATTAATTATAAAAAACATATTTTTCACTTCTTATCACAACACTTTACTTTGAAAAGTTCACCAGTTTATAACAATGCCATTCAAATACAAAGCATTTTTCATTGTTATAATATAGTAAAATTTTCAAAGTATAATATCCCAGTAAGAAAAAAAAAGAACATTAAAATTACAATGCTATAATTGGGTAGATTTTTTCAAATCGTTTTAATTTTTTTTTTGAAGGAAATGTTGAGGCGTCAAGGCAACAAAACAAGTGGTGGTGGTGTGTCACTGATAACCGTTCTTTTTATCGGTTTGTTGGGGATTATTTTGGGATATTATTTGAAGTAAATATTTTTATTTTATCAATGGAAGACGGATAAAAAGACGAGTGGACAAAGGCTGTGTTATTGTGATATTCAAAGACAAATGTTTTTTTTTTTTTTTTTTTTTTTCTTTTTCATATGTTGTGTAATTTCCCTAACAAAGCTCCTAAATCGAGCATCCATTGCGTGTGGTTTATCTTTGTTATTGTCTTTTCAATGGTTTAATTAGTGTTTGTTTGAACCCGAATTGGAACTAAAAATTAATGTGACAAACTGTAATATTTTGTCCCATCTAAAAATGTGGAATAAGGTTAGGATAAAGAATCATTCTTGCTCTCACGTTTTTTTTAGAAAACATATATATTCCCCATATAGATTAGTCCAATTTTTTTTTTTTTATCTGTGGCAAGACCTATTAGGCTATTTATGTTTGGCACATTAGTTTATTTTTTTGAGTTTTTTTTAGATTATGTTTGACAAAAAAACTTATAAACTCGTTTTAAAAAAAGCTACTAATAGTAGCATTTTAGATTGCTCGCAGTCTCTCACAAGGAGATCTGTTATCCCCTTTTCTTTTGGAAGGTTTCATATGGTCGTGAAAGTAGCGAAAATTAGCTAACGCGTTCAAAGGAGTCACGATTAGTGAGCTTGGGCCAGAGATTGCATACTTTTTATATGTAGATGATACGTAACGTCTTGATTTCCAACACATAATTTTCATTTTTAAAACATAATAGAATAACTCCAAAAGCCCATTTTCATTAAAAGATCATAGTCATACATTCATTAACACAAAATAGAGTTTTAGCTGAAGACTAAAAACATAATTATTTCTTCGATGCGAGCTGGAGCCTTCCCATGATCAGAGGAAACTGAAAACAATTAATTTGTAAATGTAAGTCAAGGCTTAGTGAGTTCCCTAAAATACCATATATCACAATACATATACAATGCATATGAAAAATGGCTCACGACTTTTCGCCGTTCCACCAATAACATGTGTATCTGGACTCACAGCCTATCGCCATTCCGCCGTCAACACGAGTATATAGGCTCACGACCATTCTTTGTTCCGCCGTCAACTCCTCAAGGGTTTGCTTTCGTTGAATTTAGTTAGGTCAGGTGCTAGTGATTGTTTTAGGTGATCATGGGAAGTGAATCGGGAACCACAACTTTTGTTGTCTCTGATGTATCCCGACTATGAGAATGACCTCTCTTGTGTTTTTGAATGATTCTCGCGATGAATTGATGGTTGGGGATTTGTAGGTGAGGTGTGTGGTAGTCCATTTGTTTCTAGATAGAGAATCAGTGCTATGAATGGACTGTCAGAATTATTGCTTGTGCATCTACATGGGATTCTTGATGTTAGAGGCGGTTATGATTGGGAAGTTTTGTGAGTTCTCCATCTGAGATTCAGAATCTCTTTGAGTTTTCTTGGTTTTTATCTGGAAGATCATCTTACGTTGTGTTATACATTCCAATGGTCATGGATGTTATGTATCCGGTTGAGCCAGTTTGAGATTTGGTCTGTTTGCAACGTCAGTTGGTGGTAGTTTGAACCCTAAGTGGGGGAGAACTGGGTATTCTACTTAGCGGATCATCGATCTGTTCGAGTTTATGATTTCAGAATAATGGGTCACAGGAACTTGTGGTTCAGGTATGCGATACTTTGGTTCAAGATTTGGTCAAGACGGGGTGCAGAGCAAGTTGCCATAAGATGTAAGTGCTCAGGAATGCATGAGTTGTCTTTGCGACAAGAAGCTGTTGGACAAGGAGCTCGTTGTAGCCAGCGGTTCCTTTCGGGAAAGCCGATGAATAGGTCATGAGGTGTTTGGGTCGCTCAGGTTGAGTATCGGTTGTTAAGGGATTCGTCAGCTCGTTGTATAGATTGCTATCTATAGTCTAGGATGGGCAATTGTTGATCAGTTAATCAACTTCATAGTTTAGTATGTTTAGTTCTGTGACAACCAGAAATATTTGGATCAAGCAAGGTCTAAATTGTAACCCTATTACAATGAAAACCTTGGAAGCCATTAGAACATAAGTGCTTGTATATGGAAGCATACACTTTGGATGTCACATATAAGGTAACCTATCGAAAGTAAACAAGTTTATCAAGGAAAACTAGACAAATGAAATAGAATAAGAATCTTGGATCAAAAGATTGTCTAGTGGTATTAAGCTTAGTCTCCCCACCACCTTAGAACATGGAAGGCAATAAGAAAAATGACTTAAGCCAACATATATGGATATAAATATGTGTAACACGTTTTGTGGAACCATGATTGAATGCACCCTTGGCTAGTTAACAAGAAACACACATTAAACACTTTGCTTGAAAGTATTAGCACAATATCCCACTAAGGCCATCACCTTTGAGTGCATACTAGCTAAAAACGTGAACACACCCTTGGGAAATCACCCAAAACCGTGAACATCTTCACTTGAGCCACCCTTGGCCGTAAACCCTTTTCATTGGGCCATGATTGGCCGTGAACACATTTAGTGGGAAGAGTTTGGCCGTGAACTACCCTAGCAACCTAATGCATGGCCGTGAACACCCCCTTAGTGGACCCCTTGGGCATAAACACCATGCTAGGAAGTATCTTGGGCGTAAAGACCATCCTATGAAGGATCTTAGGGAGTAAACACCTTGGTGGACCACATTAGGGGCGTAAACTACTTAGGGAATCCATGCCTTGGGCGTAAAATCCATTCTAAGAAGCATTATGGCCGTGAACTCAATCCTAGGAGGCATCTAGGCCATAAACAACTCCATTCCATGGGGTTTACGGACATAAGGAGTGAATAAGACAAGGAAAGTTGACCTTAAGATAGGATAACTCTTCTACTTCCAATATAATCCCAGTTAACCATGTAATAATCCCCAGATACCCATGCTTTAACCCCCCAGTTAACCAAGTACACACCTTATCACTCATATCCTTCATTTATGAACGAAAACCACCCCTCACAATATCACAGTTATCATATTTACTTTATGTGAACTTCTAAGTTTGCTCTTAGACATATTCAAGTTTCAAGTCTTAAGGAAACTCACTTCTTCAAAGCACTCCCTAGATTCTTGTAAGTATCTCATATTTGACTAGTGAATCCACATATTATTTTATTATTTCATCCTATTTACACATAATATTATGTGTTAATATTCTTAGGATATACTAAATTTCAAAGAGTTTATCAAACTCTTCAAGTGTTAGGACTTGAAAACTTCTCAACATCTCTTCAAATCATCCACCAAACCAAACCAAGGTGAGCTTCATACCCCCATATTTTCAAGCTTTTCTATGTTTTAGGGGGGGGGGGGGGGGGGGAATACAAGTCAAACTATGTTTGTTCCACAAATAACTACAAGTTTTTCATCTTTATGTTAAGGATAAATTATTATTTGTACAAGTTATGATATTCTCTAGTTTTGATATAAATATGGTGGAATGTATATATCTATCAGCAAAACTAACATGACCAATGTTAAGAAAAGTTAAGATCTGTAAACTACATGGCTTTTGGGAACCTTTATTAAAAGATAGTTTCACTAGTAAGCTTTGTTACAGTATAGTCATTTACAAATCTAGCGGGTTTAATACCTAAGTAATATGTTTTGATTTCATATTTTTCATGCTGGAACACACCTTCATATTTATATAAAAGGGTATATAAATAATTTCAAACCAACAAGATAAACTATAATCGGTATAGTTTGGAAGTCACAAACTACGTTTTCAAAGACACTTTTAATCATTTAAAGGTATAACTGTCCTGTTTTTTACAAGAAAATGAGTCATAGTTCACGTAAATCTGTTGAGGCTCTTGTGAGACGCATTTAGTCGTACTTACCTAGCGTACGTGGTAAGTCCTGTTAGTTATAATCAGAGTCTCCTAGAAGGAGAGCGTGAGTTTGTGTATAGATCTATACGGGGTTGACACCCCACACCTGAGCTGTTCGGTACAGCTAGACTAGGCCAGTCTAGGGTGACAAATATCTTCAACGAAACTGACGCCTGAAAAACGGCAAGCCAGGCACTCTGTTATATTAGTATGGTTATAACGACTCACATAGGGATAAACAAAAAGATTTTTGGTTTACGGGAAGCTTATACTCCATTAGTTTGATTGAAATAAATGAAACTATAAACTATTTTCTTTACGATATTCACCTCCATCGGGGTCTTAAGGTTTAAGACCACAACTCATATATAAGGAAAATACACATCTTTCTGGAACTATATATTTGTACTTTACAAGTGAAGGATACACACCACATTAGTTTTATAAAATACAAAACTATGTTTCGTATATTATGTAAACTAATTTTCACAACTCCGGTCATAGGGTTTTAAGACCACAACCCTCTTTTTATACAGAAAATATAGGATTTTCTGGGAACACCTTTTTCTGATACAAACAAAGGAAAACAAAGAACATGCATGCAACTATACACAAATTTTTATAACGAGACTCACAAACTACTTTTTATAGAAAATATCAGATTTTCTGGAGTTTAAGACGTATTATGAACAAAGATATTACAATGTTTTATGTAACACCCAAAAATTTTCAAACTTTAAAATGCTATGGTTTTAAAAAACATTCGGGTATTAACCTACATTTAACAAAAACCGGTCCCACAAAAACCTTTATAAATTAAAACATTGGGTGCTACCATTAAGCATCAATAAATCCATAACAAGCAAATAAGAATTACATCAATACAAAATAATAAGGAACTTATCAAGTTCCACTCCATTCTCTATAACTTGACTTCTAACTTCCATCTATCATCCTCTGTCCTTAAAGGTAACCTGAGATACATGGCATTAAAAGAGATACGTAAGACAATAATGTCTCGTGAGCTACGTGGGTTTATGACCCAAAACATTTATCACATTTTTACCAAAAACATTTCATCTTTGCAAAACATAGTTTTAGGCCATAAAACATTTTCAAGCATTTTCAAGGAAAAACTCATTTCATACAAGTCATAAATATCATTTCATTTCCTTTCATTTCATTTCAAAAGCCATATTTCCATGTTTCATTTTCTTTTATCATTAAGGGCTAATTCTGGTATTAAACCATTGCCA